CTTTATGATTATTATAAATCTAATTTAATTTTCAGATAAGTTGAATATAATTCCATCTTTTATAAAAAGGTTACAAGAAAAATTAAGAATCATAGATATTTAAAAAAAAAAAATGTTACATTTTCTTTTTTTTTCTAATTAAATAATAATAGAATTATTAACTTATTTTATTTTAAAATTTTACCTACAAGAATATGAATTATTTTGATTCTAGATGATATTGTAATTAAGAAAAAATGAATAATTTGAAAATCAAACCCTTTTATTTAAATATAAATTTTATCAAATAATAACTTTATTAATAATTTTTATATTTTGTTTTGGAAAATTTTAATAACAAAATAGCTTAGGTAATATTTTTATAAAATATCCTTTTGTAACTCTTAGGAAACTATATGTATCCTCTTTTTTTTTTCTATAATTTCATAAATGATGGCAATAAACACCATACAGAATTAGGAGTGAGAGTTCGGTTTCAGTTTAAAGTTAAATACAATGATAATAAATCCCAAAAATTTTAGAAAAAATTCAAATATCCTAATTTCTTTATCAACCTTGTGGATTTTTTCATTCAATGAACTTTTTAAAAATGACCTGAAGGATTTTTTACAAAATGATAAGAAACGGTATATAATAATGTTTATTTTATTCTTAAATTATCTATAACATGGATGATTTTCCAAAAAGATAATATACTTATTTATATTAAAAGTATTTTAGAAATTGAAATTAATGTTCAAATATATTTCTTTTAACTAACTATTCTTTAGGCTCCCTTATTTAATTTCAAGAAAAATTATGATTGTTTGAATGCAAAAAAAAGTTATTCAAATTTATGAAAAAAATTAAATGAAGATTTTTTAATTGTATTTATGTTGGTTTATGTAAATTTAGAATTGTTACAAAAGATATAAATGTATTAAGACATTTATAATTATTATTTATTTTATAATGAATAATTTCAATCAAAAATAAATATCAATCATTTGATAATTTTATCAATTATGATCCACTATTTGTTTTTGATTTAAGAGGACTCTTTTTAGAAGCAAGGCTAAAATATTTAATAAATATAAACTTAATAAATTTTTTCTGATTTTTATATTTATGAAGTGAATATTCTTTAAGTTTTAGGAAATTTATTTTCAACTTTATTTATCTCTCATTTTCTTTAACTAAATAATCTTCAAAGTGTTAATTAAATTTATTATTTATTTTTAAACTTTTTGTTAATGAATGAATTTTAGTCAAAATGAAATAGCTATATTTTTTGTAATAAACAGAAAATATATTATATATGAAAGGATAGCATAATCGTATCATTAAAATAAGTAAAATTATTTATAAAAATGTAGACATAAACTGATTATTTAAGTTTTAACTCTCATATTTAGTTGCTGCAAGAAATATTGTTATCGAACAAATTTATCCTGATTATAAATCTAAATTATTAAATTTTGATATAATATAAGGTTTATTTTTCACAGCAATAGTTTAATAAATAAGTAAGCAAAGTCCTAATAATGATGTCTTTAAGAGAATGCTATTTTCAAAATAAGTTGTGATTAAAATTATAATAGCTTTTTGTAACAATTTAATCTATTCCCAATAATAATTATTATCACTGTATTCATTAAATAAATAGCATATATGTTTTCTTAATTTAATTTTATTTAGGATATCCTTTTTTAAATAAGTTAACAAAAATAAAGAAAATGGGATGATGCAACCAAAAACTAATAATAATGGTATTATTATTAAATAAACCCACTACTAATGAGTCTTAGTATCATATTATAAAGATACATCTCCTTATATGTAATTAATATTTGATATTTATCTTGAAGATATTGAAGAGCAGAATCTAATTAAAGTATAAAATGATACATTTTTATCAATCCTCCATAATTAAAAATATATAAACAAAGCAAGGTATTTGATAATAAGCTGCTATCCATTTAAGCTTTAATTATTGTATGATAAATAAATGATAATGCTAATATAATATTAAATTATAGTAACATCAATATTAAGATAAAAATAATCTTCATATAAATCAATTCTGTCTAAATATTTGACAAATAACAATCCAAATTATTTACCATAAAGTAAAAACTATTGCTAGATTATTCAATAAATATAAAAGAGAATGAAAAACTTATATTGAAAGTAAAAATAATAGAAAATATCCATAAATAATTAAGTAGCATTTTTACTAAAATTGCTTCATGATCTAATAATATAAATTATATTATTACCTTGATTTAATTTAAATATTATTTTGCTAAACTTTTCAAATATCCTTAGTTAAGTAAATAATTAATTTGATCTCCTAATACTTTTCAAGGATAATAAAATTGATAATAATGCCCTATATATTCAAAATATTAAATACTGAAATAATGCAAATAAAAATGGAATAATAATGTTATCATTTTATGAACATGATAAACATGTCAAATCTTACTAATTTTTAAAAAATCTTCCATCTCCTCTCTTATTATATATATTACACATTTCACATAATGCTCCTTTACGTCCCATACTACAAATATGATCTCCTACTTCCCATCCTCCCTTACAATATTTTGGACTTTTATAACATAATTCTGTATAATCTGATAGATAGTTAGGTCTCCAATAACCCTCATACAAATTAATCATATTAGAAGTTATACTTTAGAATTTTATTTATCATAAATTGAGCATTTTATTGAATTGTATGTCACACTATAAAAACCTTAATTCCAAACACAAATTTAACATCCATTGTCAATATAAAATTCTCCTAATTAACATTTAAGACTTCTTGAATTTATAATGTAATTAAATATTTTTTATGAATATTAAGTTTTGCACGTAGCTTGAATTTTTAAGTAGTTATATTCAGATTCATATGGATCAAGGTTAAAAGCTAATACACCTAATTCAAAGTTATTGTTAATGGATGAATATAATAAAGTACTATTCTATCTTTATCCTCTTATTTCTGTACCATTATTTTATATAATAACACTAGATACATTGCATGTCGAATTAAGTTATTTATATAGTATTTCTCCTTTACTATTTTTAAAATATAAACTCATATTTTAAATATAAGATTGATAGAAGAATCCTTTTGTATTAAATAATTAAAAGATATTAATTTCTTAATTACTTGGAAGAATGAGTTACTTTGTATAAATTTATCTTCCTTATTCAATTGTTTTGTATGGTTTAATTTTGAGAATGCTAGTAGATGAGTTATTTATGATTAAATTTTCATCATGCATTTCTTTAGAATTTATAAAGAGTGTGAAATGGGTAGGACTTTCAACAAGATTGTTTCCATATGTAGTAGCTTAGTTAAACAATAAAAATGAATTATTAAAGTTCTTTTGGTTTAAATTGTGATCTCTATCGAAATATATTCCTCCTCCTAATATGCTGTATTATTTAAAATTTATGTTTATTGTATTTTAAATAAATCAGAGGTAATTTATAAATATAAACCTTAAGTGCTTGCAAAATTAGATTTAATTTTGCAATTCTTTATATCTAGTTCTATATCAGTGACTTTAATTGCAACTCCTTTGGTTCCATTATTATTGATAAAATTTGAATCTATTACTTAAATTTTAGATTCAACTGAATTATTTCCTACAAAATGTAAACAACCATATTCATTTATAAAATTGTTAATACAATTAAATTTAGAAATTATTAATTGTTTAAATAAAGCAATATCAAAATAAATAATTCCATATAAACTTGTTTAATAAATATTATTCTCTATATTTATCTTTTCTAAAAAAATTGTACTTAAATTAGTTTTACTTATTATTTGTATGATTGCATTATGTTATTAATTTGATTATTATAATTAAATAAGATTTTTGGAAAAATAATTGTTTAGTGATTCAATATTATAAGAATTATTCATAATTGAACATCCAAGTATGTAATAATCAGTTTAAAATTAAGTAGGTTATTCAGAAGAATATTGATTTGTATTAAACAAATGACCTTTTCTAATATTAAACTACTTTAAATAGATTTTAGATTTTCTTTAAATCGTTTGAGTTATTTGAATAAGGTTTTATGTTTTTACATTTGAAATATTTTAGATATTTAAATTAATAACATTTAAATTTTGTACATTAATTAAATTCAGAAATGGAGTGATAAACATTCCTTCAATAATGAAATCTTGTATGTAAATATCACAATTTTCTAAATAAATCAGTGAATTTTGATCACTTGTAATTAATAAAATCTCAGATGATGTTAATAATCCAATAATTTAAAAATATGTTTTCCATTCTAATTAATTTTAGATAATCTTTATATTTATCAAGGATATTTAATTCTAGGCAATAATTTAGTTAATAAATTAAATGTAAACTATTTATTTGATTAATGAAATGCAGTTAAGAATCTAAACATCTTAGATAATGATATCATTTTTAAGTAATGATGGTTATAATGTGAGAATAGAGGTAGACATTTTATTAATAACATTTGTAAATTATGCAGATAATATTGAAAGTTTTAATAAACTATTCTAAGACTTTATAGTTAAGCATCCTGAACCTCCAGTTTATTCCAAACTGTATCTTGTTGAATTTACAGAAAAGTTTTCAATTGTTATAATTCCTGCATTTAATGTATTAATATCAAATATAGAACTTCCTCATGCTAATATATCTTGGAAAGTAGAATTTTAACATGAAAATGAACTTGCTTCAATGAATGCTACTCCTCCAATTGATTTAATATGGTATATTTACATTATAAAGAGATTAATTTCTTCTTAATCATGCACATTATCTATTTTGATTGGATAATAATCTTTCCATACATTATATGNATTGTTTAAATAAAGCAATATCAAAATAAATAATTCCATATAAACTTGTTTAATAAATATTATTCTCTATATTTATCTTTTCTAAAAAAATTGTACTTAAATTAGTTTTACTTATTATTTGTATGATTGCATTATGTTATTAATTTGATTATTATAATTAAATAAGATTTTTGGAAAAATAATTGTTTAGTGATTCAATATTATAAGAATTATTCATAATTGAACATCCAAGTATGTAATAATCAGTTTAAAATTAAGTAGGTTATTCAGAAGAATATTGATTTGTATTAAACAAATGACCTTTTCTAATATTAAACTACTTTAAATAGATTTTAGATTTTCTTTAAATCGTTTGAGTTATTTGAATAAGGTTTTATGTTTTTACATTTGAAATATTTTAGATATTTAAATTAATAACATTTAAATTTTGTACATTAATTAAATTCAGAAATGGAGTGATAAACATTCCTTCAATAATGAAATCTTGTATGTAAATATCACAATTTTCTAAATAAATCAGTGAATTTTGATCACTTGTAATTAATAAAATCTCAGATGATGTTAATAATCCAATAATTTAAAAATATGTTTTCCATTCTAATTAATTTTAGATAATCTTTATATTTATCAAGGATATTTAATTCTAGGCAATAATTTAGTTAATAAATTAAATGTAAACTATTTATTTGATTAATGAAATGCAGTTAAGAATCTAAACATCTTAGATAATGATATCATTTTTAAGTAATGATGGTTATAATGTGAGAATAGAGGTAGACATTTTATTAATAACATTTGTAAATTATGCAGATAATATTGAAAGTTTTAATAAACTATTCTAAGACTTTATAGTTAAGCATCCTGAACCTCCAGTTTATTCCAAACTGTATCTTGTTGAATTTACAGAAAAGTTTTCAATTGTTATAATTCCTGCATTTAATGTATTAATATCAAATATAGAACTTCCTCATGCTAATATATCTTGGAAAGTAGAATTTTAACATGAAAATGAACTTGCTTCAATGAATGCTACTCCTCCAATTGATTTAATATGGTATATTTACATTATAAAGAGATTAATTTCTTCTTAATCATGCACATTATCTATTTTGATTGGATAATAATCTTTCCATACATTATATGGCAATATGTTATGATTTTTAATTTGTAAATTGCTAAATTTTAAAATTTTAGATCTAATCATTATAAACGAATTAGATGAATTAGTCATAGAATTGTAAACACAATTCAAATTATTAACAAATATATTACTAGGTGTTGAAGAAATGTATAATAAAATAGCTGATTATTTTAAGGAACTTTCAGAATATACATGCATGAAATTATTCTAATATATTAAATCTTCTATCACAACATCAATCTATCTGTCTGAAACAATAGATAATAATGAAAAAGATTAAACTTAATTTAATTATTGTAAGAGATTTCCATAAAATTTAACATTTTTTATATTTATTAATCCAAATTGTTGTTTAGATTTACTAGAAAGAATTTCTATTAATGATTCATCAATACTGGATTAATTTATAATATTCCAATTCTCTATTTAAATTCTTTCAAAACCTATAATTAATAACAGTTAGTTTTAGAGATTAGATTTTAAAAAACAATTCTTGGAAAGGAAAATCTTCTATTAAACTAATTAATTTTCAAAAAATAAATTTGTCAGTTTAATATCTTCATTATCATAAATATAAAACAACAATATTTCTTGATTATTATAAACAATAAAATTATTTAAATCTAACTTTTAGCTATTGATATTAAATATTTAACTTAATTGATTAGTTGTAATTGATCTATTATTTTATTCTATTTTTTGCAATAGAAAGTAACAAATTATTTGAATAAGAATTTGAAAATATGTTGAATAGTTTAGAATTTTGAAGCACATTTTTCTATACTTACAATTCATAAATAGAACATTAAGTTAATTTGTCATTAGTAACTTATATTGTTAATAGAAATGAGGATTCAATAAATAAATTATCTATAATTTTTATATTTCTAGCATATAAGGTATAACTAAATCCAAATATTATTGAATTATCAAAATGATTAGAAGTTAAAATAATATCTATTAAATCTATTTTTATTAATTATTAACAAAATAAAAAATTGGAATTCTCAAAATGATTTCTTTAGAATAATAAATTTTTTATTTGTAATATTGATTCCTACATGTAATTAATAAATAAAGTAAAAAATGAAGCATTTTAAAATGTGCATTAATCTAATGTTAAATTTTCAATAGATATTCTTTATAAACTTTTAGAAAAAAGAAATAATTGGGAATCTATAAATGTGCAATTATATATAAGCAAGGAAGTTATAATAAATTAAATAGTGAAGAATTTCTAATAGTAGTATTGATAATTGAAAAATTTTATAGATTGATTGTACCAAATTATTTAGCATAAAATAAAGAGTTTATATCCATTATTATGCTGTTTTTTATTGTAAAATTGATTAATGTTACATCTATAGGATTATATGGATTTGAAAATAACAAATAATTTGATAGGTTTTTCTCAAAAATAAATTCTGTATTAATCATTTAGATAGTATCANCATGCATGAAATTATTCTAATATATTAAATCTTCTATCACAACATCAATCTATCTGTCTGAAACAATAGATAATAATGAAAAAGATTAAACTTAATTTAATTATTGTAAGAGATTTCCATAAAATTTAACATTTTTTATATTTATTAATCCAAATTGTTGTTTAGATTTACTAGAAAGAATTTCTATTAATGATTCATCAATACTGGATTAATTTATAATATTCCAATTCTCTATTTAAATTCTTTCAAAACCTATAATTAATAACAGTTAGTTTTAGAGATTAGATTTTAAAAAACAATTCTTGGAAAGGAAAATCTTCTATTAAACTAATTAATTTTCAAAAAATAAATTTGTCAGTTTAATATCTTCATTATCATAAATATAAAACAACAATATTTCTTGATTATTATAAACAATAAAATTATTTAAATCTAACTTTTAGCTATTGATATTAAATATTTAACTTAATTGATTAGTTGTAATTGATCTATTATTTTATTCTATTTTTTGCAATAGAAAGTAACAAATTATTTGAATAAGAATTTGAAAATATGTTGAATAGTTTAGAATTTTGAAGCACATTTTTCTATACTTACAATTCATAAATAGAACATTAAGTTAATTTGTCATTAGTAACTTATATTGTTAATAGAAATGAGGATTCAATAAATAAATTATCTATAATTTTTATATTTCTAGCATATAAGGTATAACTAAATCCAAATATTATTGAATTATCAAAATGATTAGAAGTTAAAATAATATCTATTAAATCTATTTTTATTAATTATTAACAAAATAAAAAATTGGAATTCTCAAAATGATTTCTTTAGAATAATAAATTTTTTATTTGTAATATTGATTCCTACATGTAATTAATAAATAAAGTAAAAAATGAAGCATTTTAAAATGTGCATTAATCTAATGTTAAATTTTCAATAGATATTCTTTATAAACTTTTAGAAAAAAGAAATAATTGGGAATCTATAAATGTGCAATTATATATAAGCAAGGAAGTTATAATAAATTAAATAGTGAAGAATTTCTAATAGTAGTATTGATAATTGAAAAATTTTATAGATTGATTGTACCAAATTATTTAGCATAAAATAAAGAGTTTATATCCATTATTATGCTGTTTTTTATTGTAAAATTGATTAATGTTACATCTATAGGATTATATGGATTTGAAAATAACAAATAATTTGATAGGTTTTTCTCAAAAATAAATTCTGTATTAATCATTTAGATAGTATCATAATAATAAAATTACATCATATTTACAGCAATAAAAGTAAACTAATTAAATGATGTGATTTTTAAATTTGAAGTTTTTAATGTGAAAACCTTCTCTTTTAATGTTGCCATTGTTATTAATGGTTTATTATAATAACAAAATTCACTATTTATATCAAAGATTATGTTAAAAGTAAAAGTTCTTAAGCCAATTTAATTACAATACAACGTATTTATATCAAAATCTATGAGATTTGTTGGAAACCTATCCAAAAAACAATTGTTTTACCAATATTCTAATTACAATCCATTTTGGCAATTACCATCAAAACAATAAGAAGTTGTTTTAAGAGAAGGATCATAAAAAATAAAAGGATCGAATTTAGGTATAAGACATTCTTATGTAAATATAACATTTTCTTAATTAATTAAGAATAAAGGATTAAGAGTCTAATAAATATTTAAAATGTATATTACTTGTATGTTTACTATGCTACGTTCTCTACAAACTTAGCAAAATTGAGGCATTCAGGACAATAAAATCCATATTTAATTCTTATTTAATCATTAAAATAGTTCAATTTACATTATTCACAAAAATATTACTTTTCAGATGTGTTACAGTTTAAACAAGATTAACCACATTTGAAAATTCAATGTAAATCTTCACCTTACATTTGTTATATTTCTCCATAAATTAATATAAACGCTTTATTTTTTTCATTCTAAATTATAATTTCATAATTTGATCGAATTTCTTCCTGCATATAACATTATCCTTCCTAAAATATAAGTCCATCTTTACACTCAATACAAAAAATTGTGTTTTTATAATCTATTGCACATAAGAGGCAATTTAAAATATAGTTCTCGCATTTGTTTATTACGCTAGATACTTGAAAATTCTCCAAAGTTGACACAAGATATTTTTCTTTAAACTAAAATACATATGATGTTAAACAATGTTCAATTTTTGGAGCCTACTTTATGCATAATCCCAATGTAAAATCAAATATATAACCATTTTAACAATAAGCACAACCAATTCTAATTTATTACTCCTTCATATGTTAATAAATTAAAATATCTAAATATTCAAAAGTATTATAATAGAGATAATTAACATATTCAAAACAATATATACAATTAATTATAGGACATAAATTACACTAATTTGTGATTGATGCATAGTATGGTGGTTTACATGATTCAAGAGAAAATGATTAGGTCTATAGAATACATTATCCATTAATTGCTTCAAAGTTTGATATACATTTTGAACAAAGTATTTTATCTATGCCAATATTACATTGAAGGCAATATTCCAAACTACAACGATTACAAGCTTCATCAATATCTTATTTATTAAAACAGAATGACAAGAATCTTTCAGACTTAACTAAAAAAAATTCATAAAGATTCTGTTGATTTTACAATTCATACTTTGAGTCACTAGTAGCTTAACAAAAATCACAGCATATTAAATCAGATCCATCATAAATATATGTACCAAAGTCAACAATGAAAGTATAATAAATATAAAAAGAAAGAGGAGTATAATAAGAATTGTAACAAATAGGATTTGCACTCCAATTCTGGTTTGAAAAACATTCAAAACAAGTTATTAAATTATCTTTTATTCTTGAAGGACTAGAAATTATTAATTAAGAATATACCATCTTATGCATTCTCCATCAAATTCAAAATAACCTATATTTCACTTTAAATAAACATAGTTATTTTCTATAATCTACAGATTTGAATTTTCATTATCCACACATGTATTACCATCATCTATCATGGATTAGGGACAAATACAATGTTGAAATTATGGAATAAAAATTCTCTATGATTCAACAGAACAAGATAAACAATTTTATATATAAGGACCATCACAATCTAAACAACTATAATGACATTTTTTAATCCTATCATCTTCTTTACAATTTATATAATATAATTGTTTTAATGCTACATTTAAATAATTTTAAGTATCTTGCATTATATTACCATATCTTAATTTGAATTAACAATTATTAAATTATTTAACATTAACTTAAGCCTCAGAAAATTATATTTCCTATTCATTATTAAAAGTTATTTTAATATTCAATTTCTTTTCTGATAATTCACAAAATAAATAATGCCATGATTTTATAATATTTTTTTCAATCAAAAATTCTCTCACTATTTCAAATGAACTATCCGAAAAATCTTTTGTTACTATTGGAAAATCATAACTATAAGTTTTTATTACTATTTTTGTTTCAATTGAAGAGATATGATAAAATAATTAAAATGTTGATAAGTTGTCATTTAATAACTGTTGTTTTCCTATATTTGCACTCATTTTAATAAATTGATAAGAAAATTCATCAGAGGTCCAAATAATTACTTTTACCTTAATCCATCCACTTAAAGCATAATAATCATAATTAATATTTTCTGATACATAAATTTTATCATCAAGAAAAATTAAATCTGAATCTTCCATTTTCACTTATTCATTTTATTAACAAATGCATTAATTAAAATTCTAATATTCTTCAATTATAAATTGTTCAAAATCAAATGTAGTAGGAATTATATCAATTAAAACATCATATGAAACAATTTATCCAGGAAAGACAGAAAAAATGGTTCCTTATTCAATCAAATTAAGTTTGGATTCCATTACCTAAAAGCCCCCTGCCTCTGTAAATAATAGGTATTATTCATTGAAAAGTGAAATATTTTCTATAATCTCTTTTAATATAGTTTTATCTTATTACATGATAATCAATTCTAATTTTTTTAATAATGGCCATGATATTAACTAAAAATGATACCAAATGTTTTCATATTCAAAAGGATCTATATATTTATCGAATTGAAATGATTAATCTTATTCACTTATAAACATTATTGACTTCACTATCTATTTTGAAGGATAATTTAAACAATCATAGTAAATAAAATTTAAACTTTTTGCAGCTTAATCTACCATATTGACTAACTAATAACAGTTGCTTTCAAATTATCCAATTTCTTTTTGTATACTTAAAAAATTTAAAGGATTATATTTAGACCACATTCCAAAAACTACAACACTTTCTTAGGATTATTGATCTTCCTATTTAGTAATTATTTTTCTATAAACTAAATTATATCCATCAAGCGCAACTTTCATATATTACATAGTTAGATAAAGAAGATATAATTTAAAAAATTGATATTTTTTTGGATTAAAGATTGATTTCTAAATATGAGAATTGTGCATAAAAAATAGATTAATTTTAAAGTCATTAAACATCACTATTCAATGTCTTCTCCATTAAAGATATGACATTGTAGAAAATATGAGATTTATCATCTTAAAATAATAAAATATTTAACTTCTAATCTTCTGGCAAACTCACTCTAACCAAAATTGAAAAAATTATAAATCCATTATTAAATCCTTACAAAAAAAAGAATCATAACCTTTTAAGCAAAAGTACATTAATTACAGGATTTTCTTAAAAATTAATATATGTTCCAAAGAAATTTTTTTTTCTTAATTGCATACAAATAATAAGCAACTGATAGAACAACTGATTTTATTGATTTAGGTATATGTTCATCATACTAATCAGAATCTGAATGTTAGATAAATAAAGGATTTATTGTGAATTCTGGAATTATAACTTAAACAGGTCTTTGTACTTGGATACTACTACAAGTACTTGTAGAGATTTAATTCACTCTGATTTGATTGATANTAGTTTTATCTTATTACATGATAATCAATTCTAATTTTTTTAATAATGGCCATGATATTAACTAAAAATGATACCAAATGTTTTCATATTCAAAAGGATCTATATATTTATCGAATTGAAATGATTAATCTTATTCACTTATAAACATTATTGACTTCACTATCTATTTTGAAGGATAATTTAAACAATCATAGTAAATAAAATTTAAACTTTTTGTAGCTTAATCTACCATATTGACTAACTAATAACAGTTGCTTTCAAATTATCCAATTTCTTTTTGTATACTTAAAAAATTTAAAGGATTATATTTAGACCACATTCCAAAAACTACAACACTTTCTTAGGATTATTGATCTTCCTATTTAGTAATTATTTTTCTATAAACTAAATTATATCCATCAAGCGCAACTTTCATATATTACATAGTTAGATAAAGAAGATATAATTTAAAAAATTGATATTTTTTTGGATTAAAGATTGATTTCTAAATATGAGAATTGTGCATAAAAAATAGATTAATTTTAAAGTCATTAAACATCACTATTCAATGTCTTCTCCATTAAAGATATGACATTGTAGAAAATATGAGATTTATCATCTTAAAATAATAAAATATTTAACTTCTAATCTTCTGGCAAACTCACTCTAACCAAAATTGAAAAAATTATAAATCCATTATTAAATCCTTACAAAAAAAAGAATCATAACCTTTTAAGCAAAAGTACATTAATTACAGGATTTTCTTAAAAATTAATATATGTTCCAAAGAAATTTTTTTTTCTTAATTGCATACAAATAATAAGCAACTGATAGAACAACTGATTTTATTGATTTAGGTATATGTTCATCATACTAATCAGAATCTGAATGTTAGATAAATAAAGGATTTATTGTGAATTCTGGAATTATAACTTAAACAGGTCTTTGTACTTGGATACTACTACAAGTACTTGTAGAGATTTAATTCACTCTGATTTGATTGATATAGTTTCCGCAATTTGTAATTTCCAATTATCAACCTATACCTCAGATGATAATAAATGTTTGCTTAAAAGAACATATTCTAGTTATACTATCTTAATTAATTAGATGTAACTTTAAACAAATCTTCTTTACCTTTTCTTATCCACTATAAAATATGATATCTGAATATAAACCAAAAGCAGATATAAAAGTGCATAATATTACAACTTTAGATTTCATGTTAAATAATAAAAAACATCAATAGAAAGATTTTAATTAATTAATAAAAATAAAATTAACAATATTTTAAGTAATTAAATTGTAGCAATAAAACAATATAGGATAGTAAACATTAAGAAAAAATAAGAAATTACTATTTTTTTACAGATTTTCATATATTTACAATTTTTTTTGATTTTCTCTAAGTGCTGTTTAAAGCAATTGGAAAATCAAAAAGAAAAATATAAAATTCAATTAACCCGTATTTATTTATTATAGTTGCATCACCTAAATCACAAGAAAACCCTATAATAGACATTAAAGCAGCAATATCATATTGTTTAAAGGGTTTAGTTAATTACGTTCTATTCTTGTTTTGTCTTTGCGTTTTCATTTAAGATTTGTTATAATTCCTATTTATTCAATTCTACTTTAATACTTTAAGGAAATAATACAAAAGGTAGATATCACTCTATAATAATGATCAAATAAACCTTCATAAACAATTGAGAAACACAAATATGACAGTATCAAAACCTTTATTCTCTAATTTTTTAATACAGATATTTTATTCTTTTACTTCTTCACAGAAGTTTCAGGCTGAAATTGCTGATAAATGAATAATCTTTTTGAATTCTTCATTATAAATTTTTTTGTTTATTTTATATTATTTTTCATTTAAGATAGAAACCAATTATCATTATTTTATTCTTATCTTTGTTTTTCTTTATCTAGCAGACATTCTTAAGATTATAAGTCATATCTAATAAAGCATTTTAAAGTTTTACACAATAAATAGAGGAATTCAATGTGCAGACTAAATAAATATATTGAAATTATTTAATTAATATTTATAATATTGATTTAAAATTGCCATGTTTTCGTTTAGTGAGTTAATAATATTTTATTCTAGATGACATTATATCTTCTCATAATTAGAGATATAAAATTGAAAACAACAACATTAGAAAGAGGAGCGCATTAAATAAATCATCAGAAAAATATAATTGAATTTTCAGTAAAAACTCGAACTGGAAGAACAATATATTCAAAGATGGCAAATAATAAAGTAAATTTAAGCATATGAAGTTGTCTAAATAATATTTAACAAGAAAAACATGATAAATTAATTACTTACTTATGCAATTGATGTTGTGAAAGTGAAGCAGGATAAAATAACATCAACAAATATTGATCAATTTGAATTATAAATAGATTAAATTCATAATAAACTGCAAAAATTATATCATAAATTTAATAAATTATATATGGAGGAATATAAGAAAATCTAAATGTTCACAGTTATTAAAACTATTTTAATGATTCTAGTTACTAAAATAGCATTTGATATATAAAGAGAATGTACAACAAAAGGTTGCTATTCCTCTTATGATTTGATACTATATATATTGCATTTTCATATAAAGATCATCTCAGTGTATAAATGAAAACATAAAGATTTAATTTATTTTCACTGGCATTAGATTTCACATTACATGTAAGTGGGTCCATTATAAACCTAAGTACAAGTAATGATATCTTGGAACTAAAGAAAAACAGCAGTGAAAGAATTTAAATAAAAATTAAGTGAAGAAGAAATAGAGTGTATTATAAAAGATCCCTTAAAAGTACATCATTAGAATTTATGAAATAATTCTCAAACTGAAAAAGACTTAAAAGATAAATCTTGGTGAATTGAAATTAATACCATATCTAAAGCCATTTATAGTTATGGAATTTGTCTAGGACAATTTTAAAGAATATATCGATAGAGAAGAATTTAAAACATTGGAAATATATCAAAAACATAAATTCTTTATTTAATTAAGAATAATATATAAAAAAATTAGATGTATTAAGGAATGATAGAATTACATAGTCTGAATTATGTTCATAGGAACTTAAAACCAGAAAATTTTGGATGAAAATAAGAATATTGTTATCAAATGGACAGATTTTGATTTTTCAAAAGATTTAAACAAAGAAAGTCAAACCACTAATGAATGAACGGCTATATACATGGTTCCTGGTAAAAGAATAAGTGAAGGAATAAAATGACTTCAAGGGGAGCTATTTTATGTGAGATTCTCACAGGATACACCTTAATGAACTGAGATATTATTAAAGTTAGGAATAAATTTGAAACTGAAAAACAATTATTGTTTTGGGTGGATTCAAGGATTCCAAAATAAAGAATTATCTATAACATAAAATGAATTAATAAACAAGTTGTCAATAATGTAGAGAGGGTAAAATACTAAGAGGTTATAATAATGATGAACGAAATGTAGAAGGAGATTTTTGGAAAAAATAAAAAATGAAGGTATCTGAGAAAAATTATATGAAAGGAAATCTATTATTAAATGAAGAAAAATATAAAGAGGCTTTGAAATAGTATAACAAAATATTATAGATATCCCGATACATCTTCTAATATAGGTATGATTAATATTTGATATTAATTAGGGGTATTCTTATATTATAGATAAATCCTAATGATCCTATAACATATAGTAATAAAAGTACAATTAATATTTGATAACAATATAATTAGGGATAACTTTATCACTTATCAAAACAATTGTCAAAATAACAATTAAAAAAAAAATAGAAGCTATAGAGTATTATAACAAAGCATTATAACTATAGGTTAATCTAAATTAAGCAAAGATCTTTAAAATAACTTTTTACTCAAATGATTGCATTATTTAATAATTATCAATTCCATTTTTTAAATACCTAAAAAATTCATTCTGCTAATGATATATAATTTTGATTTTTTATCTAACTATTTCTTTATCATATTATCTTGCTACACCTTTTCTAATAAATGACATTATAATTTATTTACTTAAATAACAATTGGATATTTAATTTTTAATACTTTAAATAACTTCAAGAAAATATTAATGAAAATAGAATTATACTAAAATATCACCAATTAGTATTTCAACATAGTGATAAAAATCTTGGTTATTATATTTAGTGAAATATTCGCTTCATCATGGTCTTTTAGATTTACTGTTTTTAGTAAAAGTTTAAATCCATAAATTTATTGCAGAATTTAGTATAAATCATTATAATACCTCCTAATTTTCTCAATTAATTATTGAATATGCTATTTTAAAATTACAATTCTTCATTAATATCCACATATGGGAAGGATTTAGCAGTAAAATACTAAAAATATAATATTTAATTAAAGTGTCCATTGTAGTTACATGAATCACATCATTCTTCTACATCATCTCTCACCTTTAATTAATATATAAGCAGTTAGGCTTTAAGTATAAGTATCAAAATCCAGTTGAAAAATATCATCATAAAGGATTTTTGATATGATATATTTTAATAAAGCACTGATAATCATCCTAAAAAATTAACTCTGGTTTTTACATTTAATAGAGAGAAAAATATATAATAATATTAGAGATAATTATAAGTAGGAGGTTAAACTCTAATAATTTCAATATAATAATAATATGATAAATATAAATAGATAATAATGCGAAGTATAATCTGAAAGATAAATTTTCTGAATTTTAAACTAATTTTATATCTAATACTTGATTAATAAAATTGAAAATATGGTGTTAATAAAATAAATTAATAAGTTTTATTTTTTATTAAACCTCACACAAAAGATGGGTGCTAAAGAACAGAGTACAAGCTAGCATCACCAATTCTTGGGTAATTAGTCATTCCCCAAAAGTTTTCACATTTTTTTTATCATCATTTTGAATTATATTCCATCAACTAATATATTAATTAATAATTACTTGAATTTATTCTAATAATAAAATGAATATATATAAAATATTTCTCTTATAAAAAATGATTAATTCAAAACTATTTAAAACAAAATTTAATGTGTTTTTGAAGTGAATATTGTATTTTATAACTTTCATCATTTAAATATCATTTTTAAATTTTGAAGATTAATATGATTGACTTATAAGTCTCCTTAAAATAATATGCATTCTTTCTTGTAAAATACAAACTCTAAGTAATTTTTAATATAAAGAAAATTTATTATTTTCCAGAATTCAAATATATGTGATTATAAAAATTTTAATAATAAGAAAAGCATTTAATTAATATTTAATTTATAGAATTTATCTTGAAAATATTGAGCTTTTAATTGATGGCCACTATTATAGCTGTAGGATACTGCTAAAATTTAGTATTAGAAGATGAAATGATCAATTTGTTGAAAGATGAAAATTAATAAGTGCAATGGATAAATTCTATTATCTAGATTATTAAGAAGGATAAGTAGAATACTATAATTATGGTCCTTACTTTCCTTGCAAAGGGAATTTTTTAGTACAAGTTCTTTAACAACAAAACCATTTGCTGATATTAAAGACACAAAAATAAATATATTTTTATAAAGCAATGATTATTATTTCTATATATCCCTTTCAATTGTATTACTATAAGAGTAAGAATGTAAAAATACTTTGGCATATAATATTATCACTTATTTAAATAGTTGCTATTATGTATATAAATTATAATATTTTCTTCTACTAATCAATTTCATTTATGATAGTTAGTTTATCAAACTTTTTATATAATTAAATTAATAAACACTGCAAATTTTTGATAATAATAGCACAATATAAATAAAAGTTACCATACCATAAGGATACGATGTAAGATTTAATCATAAATTCATTATAGATATTCTTTTTTAGTTAATCTAATAAACTGAGATTATTTTTTAATCTTTATTTCCATTTCTATACCTTAAGTAAGAATTTATTAAATTAATTAGAATTTTCGATCATTTTATATAGCTCCAAAGTTTTAGACATTTTATATGTTTTTTCTTGATAATTTGTAAATATTGGTTTAATCTATTGGATTATTGTTTAATTTCAGCCTTTTTTTTTCAATTTTTCTCTCGTTAAATGTTCATTTCAGCATTTACATTATATCCAATAAGAATAAGGATATTAGATTAAATATTAGAGAGAGATTTAGTTTAATTTATATTTTTGGTTATTTTTCAACAAAGAAATTTTATTTTGTATTTATAGTAGATTAACAGTTAGTTTTATAGTATAAGATGTTCAGGAAATTAAATAAGTTTTGAACCAAAATACTTAATTTAGGTATTATATTTAATCATTTATTTGACATCAATTGCGCTTTTATTAATTTAAATAATATTTGGCTCAAGATCTTTAATATATATGAATCTAAGCATGGTTGATCCTATAGAACAGTGGGATAATTAAAATATTGTTAAGATGAAGTATAAGAATAAGGAAATGATAAGTTTTTTTAAATTGATGCCATAGTTATAGAAGATTTCGAAACATGTTCAATATGCCTTAATCCTCTAAAATCAAATCAAACTATAAATGATTCATTATTACACTCTTTTAGTGATGAACCCCCATGTAATCATATATTTCATTTAAAATGTTTTAAGCAATACATTTACTCAAAAATAAACGTTTTATAAAGTAATTGTCTTAATTGCAGATAATAATTGCCATAATTCAAATGATTTTTATGATTAGATATAAGGTATAAAAATATGATTCATAAAACTCTTTTCCTTCCAAAAATAATGTTATTCACATTCCGATATATGGTTTATATTGTATGATCTTGCATAATTACAATTATTCAAAACTTCATCAGAGTTTTATTCAATCAAATTAATATGATTTTCAAGGATGTATTGACACGCTAATATTTGTTTATTAAGAACATCAGGTCTTGCATATCAATCAAATTAGAATCTATAGGTAGAGGAATAAATTGGAAATCTCATAAGAACAATTTTATAGTCTTGTGAGTTTTGAGTTGATTTAGTGATACGGTAGTTATCTGATTTATTGTTATTAAAATTTCTTTAGAATTTATTTAGCCAAACTTTTGGTAAATCTATAAGCAATATTTAATGTCATAAAAATAGAGATAATGGCAGATTTATGAGATATAACTATTAAATAATTTTTCCTTTGAAAACAAAATGCTAGAATTGAACAACATAGAAGGATTTTAATTAGTTATATAAAAATTTATAAACACAGTGAGTAAAGATTTTTAAGATATTTTGGAATGAAAATCTACCATATCATATAATTTGATGGTGGAAGAGAACTGCTGGGTATGAATAATGCTTAAAGTAGAGTGTATATAAGTACAGAATATATACTTATGAGTTTGTTAATTTATGATTCTATTGTATCTTAGCTCAAAAAAAAAGATGAAGGAGAATTTTCAATTGAGTTGATCTTAAAGTCAAAAATGTTAGCTAATTATTAATTTAGAGAAGGGTGTGTCAATACTAAAAAAGTTGATTGAACTACCAAATTTATCTGGACTATATTTATTTCTCAGAATCTTATCCAGCAAAGCCAGTTTAACAGATCTAAGCCAATATAATTATTTAAGTTTTTCAGAAATATATTTCTCTTTAGTTTACTAATCAATTATAGATGCTTGCTTTGGTGTTTTTAAGTGATTAAATTAACTACAATTATCCTGATGCCTTTATCATTTATCTGATAATTAACAGTCAAGAAGTAGCTTTATAATATAATTAACCAATCCTATTTATTTTTACATTCCCCACAGAAAATCAAAATAATTAGAAATATACTTATTAATTTTGTTTAATTATTTCGATATCCTATTAAATTTTATTTCAATTTTAGTTAATTGAGATAATTTTAAATAATAATATATTTTCTAAATTATGAGGCTTAGAATTTACTAACAGAGAAAAATTTTTAAAAGCAATATCAATATATTATTTTGTTCTTAATAATAATTAGATATCATCTAAAATAATAATACCAAACAAATAAAAGTAATTTTTACAAAATGTTTTGTCACCATGTACTTGACTGCAATTTAAAAGAGAATTTTAAAAAATATACAAGATTTACAGTATGAAGATTCATTAGAAGAAAGATTTTGAAAATGATACTAAATAGAGGATACAAATAGTTTAAACATTTGGATTCAGTACATACAATTAGGTTCTTATTAATCTTTTTCAAGATATTAATTATGATGATACATTAGAAGCATTATGAAACTTTGTTAATTTCTGTTTCTCAAGTGGCAATAGAAAATGTAAAATTTTTCAGATTTTGAGATAATTCCTGAACTAATTGAATTCTGAAAATTTAATTTTAGCTAATTTGATATGAAAGTATTAAATA